CAGGATAACGTGATTGAAGGTGGACAGAGGTATCTTGCATGAAATCTGCTCTGGCTCAGTTTAAACCCTGTTGAACAAATCATTTAAATATATCCCTTAGACTATAAATGGTCTTTTTATCTTATGCACAGACTTTCACTGGTGAAAACAGGCAGCCTTGATCCAAGCATGAAGTTCACATGGAGGAATACAAATGGATGAAGCTGAGGGAATCATTAGCTGAGCACATGAGCTGCTAGATAGAACAAATCAGATCATCATGGTCAAAGAAGCACAAGAGAAACCTGTTAAAGATTATGCTTTAGCCTGGGCTTCTGTTTCAGTAGAACAGCTGTAGCATGAGGCATGCAGGACTGCAGGCTGTAGCCAGAGCAGTAATATATGCAATTAACTTGACACCTAAGTTTGGTATTGAATATCTTTCATTAAAAAAAAACATCCAAAATGTGGTTTGATAACAGAAGACTTTGTAACAGAACACTTAATTAACATCTTGCTCCCCACCCTGCAACTTGGTATTTGAATATGGGCATCTTCTTGGCTGTAACATTCATTTGACATGTAGCAGTGAACACCACTTACATTCTCAAGTCTGTAAGCACTGAAAAATCTGGGAGCAATATAAATTACTTACTTTTTGACTGGATCAATAATCTAAATATTGAACAGTTGAGAAGTACGCATTTCTAAATGATTGAAATAAGAAAAATGATCATTGATTCTCTAGCAATTCAGTTTTCCAGGAGAGGGCCACAGAACCTTTGTATGCAGCTCTTGAGGCTTTCTAGTGGTTACATCCATTGAATATAAAACTGTTGCACTGCAGGTAAATTTTTATTTTGCTGTCCTTGGCTTAATATCCCTTCAAGTGATTCTTGGTCAAAAAAAGCCTTGCGGGGGGTCTGCGAGTTAGCTTGTACCATAGACTAGTTAATGTTTGTGGTGAAGGTGGGTGAGGCATATGACCTGGAATGTGGATGTTACTGAGAAGTTCTGCGTACCTGGAGAGTTAAATCACTCTGGTTTTAGGTTGTGTGCGTTGCTGTTCTGGATGTAGTGGTATTCAGTGAAACAAACTGCTGCTGCGTGATGCTCTTTCTTAACCCTTGGCTACTCTTTCTGGAGTTGCTGCTCCTTAGTACATTTTAAGAGCTTAGCAAGAGGTGATGTGAGCCGGAAGCCTGCTAGTAACCACTGTTTTGTGAATTTTATTAACAAATCTTAAGTGTAAGGAGAATCACCTTTGGTAAAAACAGACTTTGCCTTTTTTGTTTAAACAACTGAAAATCCAAGAGCAATTATAGCTTTCTGAACAGCACTGAAATTACCTAAGATGTTGGTTGGCTACATTAGCAAATCCCAGCTCTCTCTTTTTGTAAGTTTTTAACCTGATTTTCTAACCACATCATCAGTTCATTTGCTGTGCCCCTATCCCTGCAACCAAGCTGAGTCTGAGACTGAGAAAGTGCTGATCACTTCACCTCATACATCACAGCACCATGTTTCCCTTTTGCCCAGTTCCTGCTGGCTGGAGTCTTGTGAATTTATGAGCTGACAATCAGTGAGGGATACCATCCCTTGCTGATGCGAGTTATATTTACTGAGGAGGTTGTGAGATACTTCGCAAGTTTGGAAAAGCCTGAATTCTTGATTAGTTATCACTAGATGGCCCAAAGGTGAAAGGCAATGGCATCTTAAGGGAAGTAAGCAGTTCTTGAGCATTCTGGAAGAGCAATATTTAAAAACTAAAGCTTGTGGCTGGAGACCTCACAGCAGCAGTGGCAGAGCTTAGCTGCCCTTTTTGCCTTCTGAGATCACTTTAAAAAATAAATAAATAAAATAAATACTGCCTGCCAGCAAATATTTGAATTCAGAAGGCACAGCAGCAGCATTCTGTCATGCTCAGCTTCTGCAGTGACATTGAACTAGACAAGAATTGCTTCAGAGTGTTTAATTTGTTATGGTATCTATACATGTTCTTCCCCATTATCTCATATATATTTCAATTAAGCCTGAATGCAGAAGAAAAAGTAAAGCAGCGAGCTGTTGCTGCCCAAGGGTTAGGCAAGAGGTGTTTAACTGTGAAAATGTCATTTCCAAGTTGAAATTATTCTAAGTGAGTTTTCTGGTCAGGGTAGAAACTGTAGAGATGCAAAAAAATTGCCAAGTGACTGTTCTAATGAGCTCATGGTTGAGGAGCAGAACAAGAAGCAAATACCCCTGTGCATGGCTAGCTAGCGGTGGAATATACTGAGGGCAGGAGCCAGCAGTGGGATGCTGCATGAGCTCATGGGCTCTTGTAGAATTCAGGAAATGTTTGATTTCCCTCTGCCCACTCCGTTTTCCTTAGCTTCAGCTGCCTCTTAGGACTGTTTCTTTTGGAACACCCTGCCACCGCCCCTCAGACTTGCTGGCATGCCTGGGATGCTGCTGGTCATGGACAATTTCAGCTCATCAAATTCTACCAGGCAGAATGGCTGCTGGGGTACCTGGGAGTTGTATTTTTCTCATTTAGCTTCACTTCTGGGCTCTCTGCTTCCTCAGCAGATGGCATTTTTATCATGTTTTTGGAAAGTCCATATGGCCTACAAGAGAGAGTATCTCTTCAATTGTAAAACATGACCACCTGTTCTGATTTTAATGAATGCAGTGAGCATTTGTCTTCATCTATCTACTTTAAGGTAGCTGCTGCAATTGAATTTAAAAAAACCCTCAATTGGGTGCCAACACTTTGGCTGCTGAAATAATCAATTAATAATTAAATGGCTAATTTTAGAACCCACTGGTCTTGCCCATTCCCTTGGACTCGTGATCAAAGCAGACAGTGATTGATTGCCGAGAGGCACACGGGGTGCTGGGGCCAGATGCTGGCAGGCTTTGAGCTGTTTGTTGTGATGCTTAGAAGGTGAATGCAACTTGGTGCCTGTTCTGCAAATGAACTTGTCTTTCCTGGTCTAGCTCTTTCTTCTCCGCATTGCTCCAGATGCTTACACACAGCTGCCCACAGGTCCCCCTTTCCCTGTCACCCTCTGAATGATAAAATCTGGTGCTCAAAAGGTAGCCTAATGATGGGCCAGCTGGAGAGGAGGTTGAAACTGTGAGCAAAAATAGGTTTGAAAAGCTTATCCACTAATTTCCTGTAAAGGATTCCTAATACAAAGCCCTACTAGAATCATTCAGCTCATGAAAATAACAATTGCTAGTTAACTTTTTTGTAGCTCCTGCAGCAGGTATGCCAGCCAGATGAGAAAATGTGGTTTTTGGCTCAAAAGAGGTAGAAGGGACCAGGATACCTTGTTAAAGGAGTGTTAACACTTAATTCAAAGTCTCTTTGAAAATTAACCCCTTTATTCAATAAGCCTTTTGTGACATCATCTTGTCTAAAGCTAATTAAGATACCTAAATGGTAGGAATGTGCTGGGAATTTCGGTTGATGGTGTCAGCTGTTTAGAAGGTTAATATTTGTGAGGTAGAAGAAACAGGAGCATTTGAAAGAGTGCTTGGGGGGTACAGCACTTCCCAGCATTTCAGTGCTAGCAGTAATGGGTACTGTAGGTGCTGGGTTTCAGCCCAGCAGGGTAATTTAACAGTTGGATGTAAGTGGTGGAGAAGACTTGGTGTGGCTGCTTGGAGTGTCTGCTTTTACACAGTAAGGAGAGAGAGCCAGAAATCTCTTACCAGAGAAGTGTCTGATCCATTCTTACGCAGAGCACAAAATGCTGGAAGCAGTTAGAGAGAAAGGTGACTTACCTGCTTGCCTTGTTTTACTGAAGGTGTTTTTGACACAGGCCCCTGTCCTGCTATGGCCACCAATTAGCCTGTTAATATGAGGGAGAAGCTACCCTTGCTGGTCTGACGACAGTTGCTGTAGCCTGATCGATGTAAATCCAGTTATCTCTCAAACCACATGAGATTGTGAGACAGCTGGGGGGTTGTTTGTACGACTGAAAGCCTGGCTTTAAAACACTGAAAATACAAAAATAACTGTAGCTATTGGCACTTAAATTCATTTCTATGTAATCTTTATCATAAACTTATATTGGGGGGGGAGGGTTATTTCAGTGGGAGGAGGGTCAGAGTGGTTTTCAGCTGACATCTGGGTATCGCAAGTTGCTTGGTGAGGAACTCGTCCAGCTCAGTTTCCTTGCATATGTGGCCTTCCCTCCCTGTGTTTCCAGAATAGCAGGGAATAATTAAATGAAGTTCAACATTAAAGGCTCAATGTCGGGAACGGAGAAGCTTATTAACCTTGTTGAGCTGGAAAGTGTGCTGGGGGTGTTTTGAGTCTCATGGGATTTCTATTCTTATTTTTCTCTTTTCTTGGGAATTGACACTTATTTCTGCAGAAAATATGTAATGTTAATTCTGTTGTGATCCTTTTAATGTGGTTGTGGCACTGCAGCATATCTATAAATTAAACCGTAAGAAGAACTGGAATTTAGTCTGTTCTTTCATTAGCAGAAATGCTAATTCTCTCTTGATTGGTAATAAAATCAAAGGAGAGAAGCATGGAGGTTACCCATTCAGGTAAGCATGAGAAATTTAATCCCTATTTTCCACAATCCCATTTAAATAACAAATAGACTAGGTTTTCAGCCTAGGGATCTTCAACAGTTTTTCAAGAGGGAACAGCTTGAGAAAGGGGTGCAGAGAATTAGAAATGGTAGATAAGAGTAGTTGGGCAGGGAGCCAAGAAGGCAGGCAGAAGAGGCAAGAGTCCTTTTAGCTTCTGGCTTGCACATGGGCCAAAAGGGGCTTGTGGGAGGACACGTCTATGTGCACCTTTTCCCCTTGCTGACTCTTTGAAAGGCTCTGAATTTTGGAGCTGTTCAAAGAAACCTGCTTAAACTCTTTGGCCATAATGCAGCCTGTTTATCCTAGATGAGGCTTTGAGAGATGTGGAGGCTGCAAGCAGAACTTCCATTGGGAGCTGACTATTGGAGGTCTTGTGCATCCTTCCTAACTGATAGAATTTTGCCCCTTTTCTTTCTCATCTCCAGATCACTGTGTTCACTACTACGATCTTCGCAACACTAAGCAGCCAATCATGGTATTCAAAGGGCATCGCAAGGCAGTCTCCTACGCAAAATTTGTAAGCGGGGAAGAAATCGTCTCTGCGTAAGTATTGCTTTTTATGTAGGCTAAAAACTTCATAACCCTTGCTTTTTGGAACTCTGCAGGGCCAATGTGCAAGTTCACCTGCGTGGGTGGGTGCACACTCTGGTTGCTGTGCTTTTTGAGAAGCAGTTCACTGCTTTTTGTTCCAAGACAAAAATAAAAATTCAGTCTTGGTGTCACTTGGCTGTGTTCTGTCTCCTGGAGCTGAAATGCTTAAGAGGAATACAAAGACAACTAGGTGCAGCCCCTGACTACCAGCCCTGGCTTTAGGAAGCTGGGGGTGAACTCTCCTTTTATGAAGTGCTGTGTGTGCTGAGGCTGGTCCTGACCAGAGCTCTGCTGTAGAGAAGGCTGCTGGCAGAGTCCTGAGGATAGCAATCTGCAGTAAAACAGAGCTGGTGAGTGACAGAAGTGATCAAGCGGTACTGCTGTTTCTGAAGAGGAGGTTTAGCTACAGCCCGAAAGCAACTTGAGTAGGACTGACTGATCTGTTTTCTGGTAACTTATTGATCTGCTCTGTGAAGGCCCTTTTTAGAATTATACTTGGGTTAGAGAGTAGACAAGAAGCTCTGTTTTGTGCTCCTAATACTGTGCAACTTTTCAGCTAGGGTAGACCATAAGGTCTGCTATGGAAGCCAGGAAGAAAAATATTCTACAGATTCTGTCCTGTTATGTGGCCAGATGTGGCTGCCCCAGTCCTAGGTAGGTTTTCAACCACATGGGAAGGAGCATGTCTCTCAGACTACGTAGTTGAAAGGTTTGAATGCTGGCTAAAAAAGCCTCTTCAGTAAACCAGAGGCGAGTCCCTCCTAGGTGGGGAAAATGCAAGCAACCCTGGGGGTCTGCAGGGGAATCTTTGATCTCAACATGCTCATGTAAAATGCCCGAGGGCAGCAAGGATGGATCACAGGGGTAGGTCTAGTCCCAGAAAGTACTGAGCCTTGTACTGAGCCAACAGTCATCCAGATTGGCTCTGTCTTGTGCTCTCACACCGTTTGCTGTAGAAGCATGGAGCGAAAGCAGTGCATTTTAAGGTGTATTCAGGCTGCTAGTGAGTTAAGCTGAACTGTGTGATGGAAGATTCCCTGGTGGGTTCTGGTACTGTTTATATTTAATAAGCTCTTCTCGTCTTACTTCCATTAACATTATAACTCTGTAAGGGTGCAGATTCATACCTGGAACACAGAGAAAAATTTAGTGATTTGAACCAGATCTGGGTAAGAAGAAAGTGTTTAACAGAAGCAGGAAGAGATTGAGAATATTTTACAGCCATCAAGTGGAACATCATTTATAGGATGTTTCAGGACAGAATAGCCCTGTCGCGCTTGAGCCAACCATCTGAGAAAGCATATCCCACAGTCCTGGGAAGAATATAGATAGAGCTGTCAGACTTGGACAGGCAACAACAGGGTGAGGGGACTAACTGGAAGGTTCACATATCTTTGTGTGAACAGAAAGAAATGTCAGGGAGAGCAGATTAATTTTCATGTCTTTCTTTTGCAAATTGAGGAGACAGCAGTAGTGACTCCCAAAAATCAGGCACTGATTTATTTTAAGAAAAAAAAATCATACGTATATTCAGATTCTCTAGATTTTGAGCTAAAGCTGTTTTATAGATTGCATTGACTGACTTCGCCTTGTAGAGTTAGGTTTTGACCTCAAGGGTGTTCAGAATTGCCTGCTATTTAGCACAACACATTGATTGCAGTGCTGATTTACAGAGAGACAGATTTAACGGAGCAGTGCATCCATGATTTTTTTTTTTTTTGGGGAGTGGAAAGGCAATGAAACCAGAAGAGCAGTGGAAACACCAGTAGGATCAATGGCCTTTTCAACTCCTTGCGGTCCAGTGGCAGATAACTTTCTTATTTTATGGCATGCTTATCCTAAGCGATGCAAATGTGCCTGGAATTTGTTAAAGTCTGTTACTAATGGAATGATTTTACTACTAAGTATTCTTATTTTAATGAAGAGATTGAGAATTTATGCCACTAAAACATAAAGGTTAAGTGCCGATATATATGAGGTCTTCTTGGTGGGTTAGCTAATAGCAGAAGCGGTCACAGAAATCTGACAGCTTGTAAGCCAGGGATTGGTGTTTTGCTGCTTTGCCCTGCCTTCAGAAAAGTTTAGTTTCCAGGCCACCTGAAGCTTTTAAAACCAGTGTTTTAAAAAATATGGATACCCTAATAGTGTAGAAGGCACCTCCCTGTACTTGTGGGCCAACAAAGCAGTAGTACATATCCCTTTGCTGTTTCTATGAGCTATGCTGCTACTGTGGTGGTAAGAACAAGAGAAGGGAACAGAGAGTGAGCAGCAGCATATAGGGCAGGGATGGATATGGAACAAGCAACAGGCAGACAATCTGAATACTCTGTTTTGGGACGCCCCTTGGTCAAGACCTGGGATGAGGAAAGCACTCCTGTGTAAGTCACAGTAGTACAGATAACGTTCATACCTTCATTCTGATCTGACCTCATACTATTATTATAAATGACTAATAAATCTTGCTGCAGCTCCCTTACTGCTCCTTTGTTATTCCGACTGTCGCTGAGGGCTGAGGTAAGTTTTTTGCAGCATAGCACGAGATGCGTCTCTTGTGCTATATTTTTAAGTAAATGTGACATTGGTGCAGGGCTAACTTGTTACATCGTTGGTAATATTTGATGGTTATTGGGTGGGGTTTGTCTTTCCCTTTAGCTCTTAATATTCAGAAAGCAGCAAGGGTGGGTGATGTGACTTGTAAGAGGGGGGTGTTACCTACCTCCCTTTCCTCCCATCCAGGAGGCTGACATATCCTGCTCCCAATCTCTTGCAAATTTAAGATTGGAACAGCACTACCCACTTCGTCAAGGGTGACTTTTCAGGGCTCCAGTCCTGCCACATCAGTGTTTTCTTCACCTACTGTATTGCTGTAAATCAGTGAGTGCAAGAATATCAGAGCCTGGCAATTGCCTGGGAAGTGAGAGGAGCTCATGCCCCCTCAGGTTTGGGGGAAGCAATTAATCCCGTATTTCCTGGAAACCTGGGATCTTCCTATTTTAGTTGAGCTCTGCCAGGCAGAGGGGACTACCTCCGCCTCCTTCCTTTTGCCAAAGGTAAAATGTTTGCACGTGGTAAATAGAAGAAACATTTTGAAGGCAGGTATGTTTGCATGTGGAGGAACAATGCAAAACATCAATTCTGATTTAATCCCAACAGAGTTTGTATATTTTTAATAGCAATAGTTAGCTTTGCTGCCACTGAGAAAAAAATTGAAGTTTTGAGAACTGTATCCATGCAGTCTCAATTACACATGAGCAAACCACATCAATTTAATGCTAATAGTAACTCTCAGCTCTTGGTATTGGGCAGGAGGAGGAGGAGGAGAACATGCTTTCAGGGCAACTGGAGGGGAATGAGGCTGCACCCTACCAGAGTCCTATAAAGGCATGAATGAGAGTTGTAGCCAGCAGAGAGAAGGGAACAGATTTTCTCTATTGCTGTAGAGGTTTAAAATATATATATATATTCAGTCTGTCTTGCAACTGTGAGGATACAGAGGACACAGTGGTGGCCCTAAGGCTCTACAGTTCAGTGAAGGACTCTGCAATTGATAGGAGAAGAGAGTAATACTTTGGGGAATTTTTTTATTCAAACATGTAATGTGTTTTGACAGGCTTCTAAAATAACATGATACCTTTCCAAGCTAGAGCTGAGTTGCATATGACTGAAAGTGGGATAAATCTCCTGGAGTGCACCAGGACTTCCTAAGTTTGTGTTGCAAGTAGGGTGTTAAGGAGCAGCGTTGCAAACAAGGAGTACCTGCCATATGGCAGCAGGGGAACTTGAGATACTGTTTTCAGGTCAACAGACAGTCAGCTGAAGCTGTGGAACGTAGGGAAGCCTCACTGCTTGCGCTCCTTCAAGGGACACATCAACGAGAAGAATTTCGTAGGGCTCGCATCCAATGGAGACTACATTGCCTGTGGTGAGTAGAGCAGCTGTCCTGACATGCTAATGGGTCTCCTTGGAGCTGGTGCCAGAGTTGCAAAGCACGCCAGCAGTTGTGCTATGTAGCTGCATGGGCTTTTTAATAGAGGATTATTCTGAACTTCCACCCTCCTTCCTTTCTTTGGGAATGGTGTAAGGAGCCCGGACCTAGGGGGGTCTGTACTTGTTTTTCTCCCATTTCAGATGAGTTCATTGTTCATGAAGATTCAGACTTGCTGACACCAAAAGTCAACTACTAATGTAGTTGCTGTTGATATGACTTCCAAATTTATCAACTGACACATCCTCATTGAGAAGCACTAATGCCCTTGTTGTGAACAGCTCCCCAGAAGACTAAATCATCCTTAAGAACCCTTTGGCAATTTCTGTCCTTTCACTGCTTAGGTTGCACTGTTGAACCTCTCTGAACCCACAGGTTGTGGTGGGAAAGCAGTGACAGGCTGATTGCTGTGGGATGAGCAGGACAGCTGTGCCAGCACTGGAGGGAGGGCCTTCGCTTGGGTACTTTCTGATCTCTACAGCTTGCAAGGCAGAAATTGGAATGGATTTCTAAATAAAGTCTGCACGCTGTCTAGTGTCTGACTTAAACCTCCACAGACCAAACTGTCATACTTGATTACTGCAAGCAAAACTGTGACAGTGCTACCTGTCTCGGAGCTGTAATGCCAAGCAGGCTGGGTGTAGTGGTGTTTCATGTGGAAGTGTAGATGCTCTGTGCCCTAAGGAAGTTATGGGAGACGGCTGGGATCCTGTATGTTTTGCAAGTGTGCTAGATACTGCTGTTGTCTTGTAATAAAACCTGGTCCTGTTATTAAGCATTGTGAAAGTTTGCTGTGGAGCACTCCCAGTTGCCAAGGCACCACAAGTGTGGTAACTACAAGGAGGAAATGTCTGGTCTTGTCTTAAACAATGAAAGAGCTAAGAAAGACTTATTTCTATGCCTGCTCCAGAACCTAATCTTGTATATTTATATTTTTTATTTCTAGGAAGTGAAAATAATTCCCTTTACCTATACTATAAGGGCCTCTCAAAGACACTGCTGACGTTCAAGTTTGATACAGTCAAAAGTGTCCTGGACAAGGACCGAAAAGAAGATGACACAAATGAGTTTGTGAGTGCTGTATGCTGGAGGGCACTACCAGATGGGGTAAGCTTTCTGCTCAGGCACCCAGCCAGGTGCAATAGGAATGCCTCCTGCTTTCTCACAAAATACAATCGCTGAGGGTTTGACTGCACTTGGTAGTTTCACATTTATGGATATTGCAGATCACTGTGAGAATGTGAAGATATGCAGGTTAACTGAAACACTGTGGGATGCTGGGGGAGAAGGGACTGCTGTACTCTTAACTCTTACACTTTGAGTGTTTGAGGTTTTTCTACTTGGCATCTGAAATCCCAAAAGCAGCATTGTATTTCTGGCACTTAAAAGTTTTTGTGGGTACTTGAGCAGGCTTTTTGTTGCTTTAATGAAGATAACTACAGAGGCTCGCTGTGGAGCCTTATCTCAGTGTTACTGTGTCTGTATGGGCTTGCTTACAGAAATACAGCCCCCGTGTTTTGATGAGTAGATATGTAAAGGAGGCAAGCCCAGGCTGCAGTCACCTCAATGACTGTTCCAGTGACAATTCATAGGCGTAGCGTGTGTACTAATGCTGCAGGCAGACCTGAGACAGCTTTTGTGAGTGGCCTTTCAGCATGAGGTTGCTCTAGAGAACAAAATGCTGCTTTTAAATTCAGAGCACTCTTGAAAACCTTGCATAAAAAAAGAACTTGAGCAAGTAACTCCTGAATGTATGTACAAGGGTTTGCAGGTCAGATACCTAATGGTCTTGTGAGTAGGAAGAAAGCTCACCCTAAATAGTCTTCCAGGTAGCTAAAGTCGAATGCTTCCTTATTGATGTCCTGAGATGTTGCATTTACAAAAATAGTGTTTTGGAAGGGTAATGTCTACCAATCTATTTCAGTATGAATAAACTGCCCCCACAATCGTGATTGAGTTGTCACTGGCATAAATTTACCTCAGATAGATGCTTCTGAATCAAAACAAAAAGAAACCTGAGTGTCTGAAACTGCACTTTCTATTTAAAAGTGGGCTGTTGTGGTTTGAAAGGTGGGCATGAGACTCAGTGATGTAGGATCACCAACTTCTTGCTGGCTGGGGATTTAGGAGGATTTGGTATATGCAGGTGTCCCAACTGACACTCTTCATCCAAGATGTAAGTTGCGTAATCTGTCTTTCTGCTGAATAAAAATACGTTGTTGGAACCTTTGTGTTCAGCAATGCCTTTTCCCTGAACTGCCTTCACTGCAGTGTTTGTGTTGGGTTGTCCTGCCTGCTAACCCCCTGGGCAGCTCTTCTACAGTCAACAAATTAACAGAGATGTCTCACCTCTGGTATTATTTCATGTTGCAGTCTGCTCCCTATCAGCTTTTTCTCTGATTAATATGCTTTATTCTGTTAGACCTTCTGCCTAAGTGACTGAGAAACTTTTGAGTAGTCACCAAGGGCTGTCAAGCAATTCTTCATAACCAGTATGAAACATGTTGTGCAAAAACGTAATAGTTAAATCAGGCCCATCAAGATTACACTAAATAACATTCAGGCTTCACTCCATTAAGCAGCACTCAAAATCTGTCACTAGTCTGATTTTTTTTCTTTTTTAATAATTCTTCTGCTTTTCCCTGGACTTCTTCTAAATTAGCCTGTTTCTCCTGTGGCAGCCACAGTACCCGGCTCTCATTTGGAAAGATAGCAAAAAGCTGCCTGTGATCTCAGAGCTACTGGCTAAGTAGTTTGCTTCTGTGTTTTACCTCAGCCTGTGGTGCATGCCACCCTGCTTTACATACTGAGCAAGCAGCCTTGCTTGCTTTTGCCAAGAGGTCTTAATGCTTCCTTGCACCGTATCTCCAGTCCCCCCGAGATGAAGTACTCTTCACCAATGCAGCCACACATTTCTTTTCCCTCTTCTATCAGCACAGCGATCCTCTCCAACCTAATTGAGACTTTGCTCGTGTTCTTAGGAAATTAAATTACTGCACAGCCAAAGGTCGCTTATGTCCACAGAGTCTTTCTCGAACGATGAAACACTTTTATTCTCCATTTTGATAATGTTTCTTAAATTTGGCATAAAATTTTTCAAATGAGCTTCATATATACAGGCTTCCCTAAAAGCTGACGTGTTTTTTAATGATGTTCGGATGAACTAGAGAAGGCCTTTGCCTCGCGGTGCTGTCAGCATCTATGGGAATTGGGGAACCCACAGTCTACTTCTGGTTTAATTGCAGACTTTGATCCCGGGTGAGTCACTCTGCCTTCGTTTCCTAATTATAAGAGTTACCACACCTACCCTTCACTGCTGGCAGCAATCACGCCTGCTCTGCTCAAGAGTGTGTGTGTGTCAAAGCAGCTCCAGCTGAGCAGCCACGTGAAGCTGGGCATGAGCTGGAAAACCTGCCCCAGAGCTGCAGGGAGCACAGCAAAGCTTTATACTGGGGTGGGTGTGCTGTTCTCCATGCCTTGCTGGGGGGGTTTAAAGTGGTCTTGCTTGTCTCTGTCTCATAGTCGTTGGGCAGTAGTTTCAGCTTGCTACCTGGAGTGTTGCTAAGGGGGGAGATGTATGTGCTGTGTACCAGCCTTTCCTGAGGGCTCCCCCAGCGGAGCAGACTCCTTGGTTTCCCTTGGGTGTTGCTCTCAAGGATTGTTCTTTAATTAACCTTTCGAGATGAGATGAGTAAGTTTCAGATCTGTCAGTTATCTTGGGAAGCATGAGTACATGTACTCCTTCACTTCATGCACTTAAGTGCAAAATCTCAGATCCTAATTAAAACTTGACTGAAACTTTCAGATGAAATGTCATTGATTCTTCCTTCGATCTATTTTTGTGTAATTCAAGCTTTTACTTCCTCCTGAGCCAAAGTCAAGCTGTGCCAGCAGCCATTGCCAGAACCCATGTTCCACACACACCACACACCCCATACCCCCGTGCTGGTTTTCCTTCACTTCTGAAGACACAGGGACCTTTCTGCTAGACCTGTCACCTTTCCAGCCGCAGAGGTCCAGCTGGCACCTTCTTTCCACCTGTGTCAAAGGCATAACAAGGGAGATAAAACACTTAGAGAAGAATTTTAGCATTTTGCATTAGGCTTACTCACTTTTCAACTCTTGAGTAATGTTTAGAAATAAGCACTACCTTGTAGGCTAATATTTTTGTTAGACTCTTTGGGAAGACAACCAGGCAAACAAAAAGACCTTTCAGTAGGTACTATAGGAAGCAAACCTTCACTCTGCTTCTTTTCGTCTGTGTTTTGGACAAAAGTAAGTAGGCTGTTTAATGTTTTTTAAATACCACTTATTTATGGTTTGTGGGGAAAACAATTTCTCACTTTTCATCTTAATCTAAAAATTGATCAATATTTAAATGTAGAGAAAGCTTCAGGACGCTTTTGGCCTAAGTGACCTGATAAATGTGGGTTAGACAGAGAGATGCTTTTCAGAACCTTCCCTGCAACAAATGCTTTTATTTCCCAGCTCAAGAAATTTATAATATAGCTGTGCCGGCCTTTATTTCTGGCACCTCGGCAGGTTTTAGCCAGCTTTTTTTGAAACGTGAATCTGGTCTGGAGATTGAAATATACATTCTTCTATTTTATTAGCATGTAAGCAGATGATGCTGTTGCATATAGGGAAATTAGGGTAGTGGCAGTAGCTCACTGCAGCTGGGTGGGTAGAGATGTTTTATTTGCCTTGAGAGGGTCACTCCAGTTACATCTAGGTATGTGGATAGTAGCCGAAGCAGATTGGTTTGTGCTTTGTTTTCCCTTGTGTCCTAAGTGATGTTTTCACCTTCCCTGAAAGGGTACACCTCTCATTTGGACCTGCTTTGCCATATTGCAGAGTTTGAGATGTGCCTCATACAGCTCTGTTAAATAATTGCATCTCAAGTAGCCCCTTTCCCAGTCAAGGTTAGTGTTTCTCAGAAAGAAGCTGTCAAAAGAGAAACCAAGGCTGAACCTGCTCCCAGGACAGCAAAAAGGTATTACCACTGCACACAGAAGCAATTTGATTATGTAGATTAAGCATGGTTCAATCTATCATAATCACTGTAAAGAAGCCATTTAATTTTGTACCTGTTTGCATGAGTATTCATTACTGCTGATAAGCAGGTTAGCTAGGGCAAGATTTCTCAAGCAGAAACGTTGAGGCTTTGATACCGGTAAGGAGATGCAGATAAGAGCAGAGAATGCCATGCAAATCAGCTTAGGTAAAAACTTGTTTTGGTTTTTTTCTTTTTAGAGGGGCAGGGAAGGGAAATCCATGGAGAACAGTGCTGCAGGCTTTAACCAAGTCACTTCGCCGCAGTGAGCGTGTGGGTGGTGGTGCGTGCTGGATGGATGCAGAGGTTTCCTGGCACTTGGGAAGACAGGTCTCGGCGTGGTGGCATGGCAGTGCTACAAAAGCAGCTCCTCTGCCTGACTGGGGAGAGCAGAAACCCCTGTATGTGTTTTCTCACCTCGTTGTTGCTCTTCAAAAGTCATTTTCATTTAAGGGAGTCTCAAAATAATCGTCTAGCCTGTAGCCACGCGTGAGCGGAGCAGGCTCTGGGGCTCCGGGCTTCAGGTTGCCTTTAGGCACTGTCCTATGATGGAAGTATCTTCCTAATGAGTCTTGCATCTCAGAACTTCTCTTTGTTAATCTAGGAGGATGGAAATGCGCCCTTCGAATAGGTTTTTGGTGCATCTCTTCAGAAAACAAGCTTTCTCCCATTTAGTTTTCCTTTCCTCTCAACATCCAGCTTTGTTTCTTAATGATGTCTGGCTTGAATTCTTTATATATAAAGCCTATAATTGTACTGCAATAAGCTGGTCACTTAATAGGGCTGTAATCTTGTTCGCTGATGAAAAGTAGCCATCCTTTGTTTCCTAATAGCCTAATAAATGGTACACAACGTACACAGGAGCTAGTCAGGGACTCTGAGAATTTACAATCATCACATTGGCTCCCTTTGCTGGAATTAATTTAGCCAATACAAATTATTTTGGGAAGTGATTCATTGCCATTTTAAAGCGCTAATTAATTTGGATGACTTGTGAACATAAAAAATGAAACCTCCTTTGTCATTCCCAAATAACCAGTGCTTATTCAGTGTC